ACAGAACAATTCTGGTAACTAAGCAACGACTGTAGAAATCAAAATAGAAAACAAAACAGCCATGACACCTTAATTTCAGGGGCTGTAAAACCCTTGTCAACTTGAAAATAGCTAATTGAATTAGCTTTGGCTCAGTGCTATTTATTTCTGTATTTATTTATATCTGCCTTCCTGGTCAACAGAACACTTTTACCCTCAAGCTACTTCCTTGTAAACTTTCACTCCCATTCAACAATGCTCAACACCCCCCCCCCAATATCTTCTAGAATACAAAAGCCAAGAGGACTCAATGACCAAAGTATTGGATTTTGCATATACTAATTTTTAGAAAAAAATAATTTTTCCTTTTTAGTATCCCAATATCTAAAACAGAATAACAATAACATACTTGATGAGGCCCTAATAACAACAGGTACAGTAACCAGTCTAAAAACTGACAATAAAGATACTGAAGTGCTGGATAGATTCTGCCTTTTAGGCTCAACTATGAACAGAAAGGAACCAGCATATGCCACAGACTAGGACTTGGTAGAGCAGTCATGAAGGCCTTGGGAAAGATATTCAGATGCCATGAGATGTCTATACCTACAAAGATCAGACCTCTGAAGGCAATGGTTTTCCCTGTGCTGCTCTTTTCAAGTTGGATTTTGAAGAAGTGGGATAGAAATAGATCAGAAGCTTTTGAACTTTGGTCTTGGAGAAGATTCCTGAGAAGACCATGGATAGCCAAGAAAACAAACAAATGGATCACAGAACAAATCAATCCAGAGTTCTCACTTGAGGCACAACTGACCAGGCTCAAATGATCATACTTCAGACACATTATGCAAAGACCTAGCTCTCTGGAGAAGTTTATAATGTTGGTCCTTGTTAATAGAATGTCCTCCTGAAAGACACAGGTGGCACTTATATTATAATATTCTCATTAATTAAATAAAAATAATTCCCATGCATTCTGAGAAATTCCCTAGCCTGTCATGTTTTTACTTACAGTATTGCCTAATTTTTTCTGTTAATATTCCAGTTTGACAAATTCATGCCATGTACTCGCAAACATTAAATATAAATGTACATAAACAGAGAGATAACATTCTAGAAACAATTTTAATGCAAACAGCATATACTTCCATCTTTCGTACACTTTTCTCAAGATACAGACAACAGAAAGTTTAAAAAATTAAATAGTATTATTCAATCTATTATTATGTTAGCCTATATCTGTAATGAAGATAATCTGCCATTCTAAAAAGTTGAGTGCCCAAATTATTTAATTAATTTATATTACACCTTCCTGTTCAAATTGGGCACTGAAGGCAGCTTATAGCATGAAATATACCCATAATAAACATTCAAAAGAAAATAAAACGTCAAATAGGCAAATAGAAAAAAATTATCAGCAATTAAAAGTCTTGCTAAATATGTGTGTCTTAACCAGTTTTCTAAAGGTAGAAAGAACAGAAGCAACCTCACCCATCATACACCACAAACATCTTTAAAGGGCCTTCTCTTCCAGATCCAAATGGCCAGACAGATTCAGAATAGGATAGTCCTGCCCTAATCCACTTGGACTCTTAAAGTCTATATCAATATCTTAAATGATGTCCTCAGCGCAAATAGCAACTAATGTAGCTGTCTAAATAACAGCACCATATGATTTCAATTTGTTCTCTTTAATTCCCACAATCCCCAGTCAGGGAATTATGGGAAGTTATCAAGTTGCTTTACACTCTGTGCCCTTTCTTGAAGAACTCAAACCAGGACTCAAGCTGTTCATATATGATGCCTTCACTAGAAGCTGATATTGTACCAATTTTAGGAGGACTAAGTTGCTCGTGAAATGAACAGAGGATGCTGCTGGTTTCCTGGGCCATCTCCTTCCTCCATTTTATCATAGCTGAGAAAGACGCTTCACTGCTAAAGGCCTCCTTCATACTCGAGAGTGAACCTTTCCCACTGCAGAGATCAAAACCAAGCTTTCCAGGAATGATGCATCTGGCTCTTCATTGCTGGCTTTTAGATCAGCATCTAAGACAGGCCATGATGGCTGGGACCGCCAGAAGTTACAGAGTAGTAACATTTGGAAAGCCACACAGTCTTCTGTCTATCCCATCCAGCAGCAGCAATTACACTCAGCTCTGAGTTCATGCCCAACCAGGTTAGAACCTTGCACAGCCCTGTGCTAACATGATGATGATGATTTAACATAACCAAATCTACACAGACTTAGATAAAACAGAGCTGCCCAGCCCAGGGCCCCAAATCCTTAGGAGTCAGGTCAAAACTCATTGGCCCAAATAAGTCTTCCACTATATCTTATGCCAGAGACCAATCCATAACTCCAGGAGACAAGGCAGGGTGGCATGGAGGGGATAGGAATTACATACAACCTGGATGCCTGACTACAATTTGGAGACAGATTGAGAGATCTGGCAAGGGAAACTCTGGATGCAACAGCTAAATGCAGAGAGAAAAAAATGGGGAGGGGGCAGGTGAGGACAAAGAGCAAGATAGGACCTACAGACACTCTTCTCTAAAAGGTGCCTCCAGAAATGTCAGCCTGTATCACGCATCTTTCCAATAGGCCTGGTGGGATTTGAAGTCCCAAACATCTAAAGGTCTCCAGCTTAACGAAGAATGGCAAAATACAGAACGGCAGGAAAAGGGATCGTCGGGGGTAAGGCATGATGGGGCACGAAGCTCCTACACATGCAAAGGAGACAGGGATCCCATATACACATGCAGCAAGCGCAGAGTGGAAAATCCTGCAGAGAATCCCTCGCTCTGCGAAAGCCCGCAAGAAGGGCACTTACTGTCGGTCGCCATCGCTGCTGCAGCGGCTGAAGAGACTTGTCTAACCGAGGACTTGCGGTGGCGGCGACAACCACTTCCCAGCCACCTTCCTGCCCACCTCGCGGCAGCCGGTTCTCCATTAATCAGGAAGGAGGGGCATCCTTTAATCCATTGCTTCGCTCAGCACCCTCCAGGAAAAGGGGGGGGAGAGAGAGCTGATTTTACGCACGCGCTCGCCAGGACGCTGTACATAGGCAGGCGCGTGCCGGAGGGGCGGCCTGCAGAGCCGCTGAGCTTCTGCAGGAGGCTCAGCACGTGCTCCAGACCCCTCCTCCCCCCTCCGGCTCAAAGACCCAGGGGGAATTGGAAGGTGCTGACAGTAGGCGCCCCTTCTTAGTCGCTGCGCTGGTCCACCGCCTCGTAGTCGTTAGAAAGGCTCCCTGGAATGTTTGCAATAAATGCGCGAAATAGGAATGAAAATACTATA